CTCCAGTCAGAAACAATTCATTCCCAACTACAAGTGTGGCATCCTGAATAAACTCATATCGGTTGTTGGGACTCTTGATACTGCAATTTCTTATGATATGGCAAATATTTTAGTTCCGTACAAAGTTCCACTGGTGAGATGCATTAATGATATGTCGTTCATACTTTCCTTTGTCTTTTCAGATATTTTAAAATATTTTTAATTTCATGTACTCTATGAAGTATAATTAAGAAAATGTATTTACACATGATAAAGCAATGTGAACTCATTTAAGAATTTGTTACAATGATAGGAAAATTTCAAAAATTAACTGGTTTTTTTAAAAAACAAATTTTATTGGTTTTTTATTTTCTTTTTTAAATAAGTTTAAAAATAGTGTATTAGGTAGGAGCTTTGGATCTCTGTAGTTTCTCAGGAAAGATACTCATGTGATGAGAATATATATATATTTCTGAATTTTATTTATTTTATTTTCTGACATTATTAGATTTATATCTACCTTTGATTCAGGTATTCAAGGAGGCATAGGCAGTGCCTTCTCCTACTGTTGGTCCTTACCTACTGAATAGAGTTGGATCCACTATCATGTTTTATCCTTTCCCCCAATAGCTTACATTAACTGGAGAAAAAAATAGATACCTGAAAGTTCTGATAGGACTTTCCTTAGAGATATAGTACCAGGAAGCCCATAAGTAATACCAGTTCATACAAGAGTGAAATAGCGTAAAGCAAAATGTAGATTGTATAGTTTCTTTTTTAGAAAAGCAGATAATTTTTTTTAAAAAAAACTTAGAGTAAACATTTTAAAAGAGCATAGTTTCTTAACATATAATCCATGAATATAAAATTGTTGTACTTATTTGAAATTGTATTATTTATTTATTATTTCATTATTATGCTTTATTTCAGTTTTCCAAGTAGTATGTTGACCATGGTTTTTTGAACTTGGGGCCAAGTAAAAGTGTCCTAACTAAGCAAGTACATATAATAATAAGAACAAAGCAGGGATTCAGATATCAATCCCTTTAATAAAAATCAAATTCAGGGAACAAAATTCAGATAGTCATAGAATTATAGATTTGGAAGAAAATAAATGGAACATGTAGCCCAGTTATAGTGTCCTAAGTATTTCTTTATAGAAATTATGTGAAAAATATGCTGATATACTTCAGAGCTTTTAATATACAAAGAATACACATTTTCATTCTCTTTCTATTTTTTTAACCTATATAATTTTTATTTCCATAGTTTCCGGCTGGCTTTTCCCCTTTCTACTACAACATGGTTCCAAGTGAAAACATATTTTATATGGGGATTATTCGATTACTCTTATATTGCAGGTGGACATGGGTTGGGGTACTTACGAAAAGTTTTGAGGCATCGTTTCAACACCTAATTGTTTCAATTTTTCCTTTCTATGGCATATGCATTGCCTTCTTAGAACAATTCAGACTGCTTTATTTTGACCAGTTTTTTGATGGTTTAAAATGGCTTGTCAAAAGCTTTCACATTTATGTTAACAGCAAAGCCAATGCTATAATAGTCAGTGATAAGAATCTTCTACATTTAAGATGGTTGTTACGTCTACCTGAAATAGAAATGATTTCTACAAAGCCTAAAGGTAAAGTGTGGATTATGGCTTTCAAAGTGGATCTAGCATCATTCTTTTATCATAAGAGCTGGGAGATCCAAGGCCTCCATGGTGCATTGACATTTGCATCTTACTCAAATGAAGTTGAGGGATTCCAACATTTTGTCCAGACAAGAAACCATTTCTCCTCAAAAGAGGATGGTTTTCTCAAAAATGTGTGGGAGCAAGCATTTGGCTGTGGATTTCCAAATACATCTAGGAATGAGAAAAATGATGATGTTTGTACAGGGAATGAGAAATTGGAAAGTCTCCCTGGGTCTTTTTTTGAAATGAAAATGACCAGTCATAGTTACAGTATATACAATGCAGTATATGCTGTGGCACATGCTTTACATGACATGAAGTTGGACCATCAATGTAGGAGAAATGGGCAAAAACACAGTATTCAGAATCCTCAGCCATGGCAGGTAATTTTATGAATAATCAAATAAGTTGGAAAAGGAATTTGAATTGCACTGGTTTTCTATGATATCACAGTCTCTTCATTACAGAGAACAGTAAGATGTATATGTTGGACAGTTTTTTTCTTTTTTCTTTTCTTTTTTTGAATTTTGTAATTTTAATGTTTTTTCATGCTTTGAACATCTCAGTTCAATTACGGTCTAGCTGCCTTCCTGGTAGGTTATAAGTAGTAGGCATATTCTGTATGTGTTGCCTATATCTTCTCCCCCATCCAGACATATACAAGAATTATTTACTGCAGAAGCTTTTTTTTTTTAGAGTTACAAAAACTGCTTTTTAAAGTTAACTTTAAAAACACACTCAGAGAATGTTCTGTCAATAAGGATATGGGTCCAAAATAATGAATACAAAGAGAAATTTTTAATCTTAGGATACATAGCTTGATATTTATTCATCTTTAGATCAGCTTCCTCCAACCTTTTGGGCATCAGGAACCAATTCCATGGAGAAAGGTTTTTCCTTGGACTGGAGGGGGCATGATTTTGTGTGATGACTGCATCCTGCAGATGGGGCTTTGCTTGTATGTATGGCCCAGTTTCTGGCATGCCATGAACCAGTGCCGGTCCATGGACTGGGGATTGGGGATCCCTGATTTAGATGAATCAAAGAATATTTGGCAATCCCATCCATACTATATGAGAGAAGGATCATGCTTTCAGAAATCCATAGTTTAAGAGGCTGTGGAATCGGATACCAAAGATCAACTAAATTACCACATGAATGAAATGTAAGAAATTATAAGGCATCTGAAAGGGCAGGATATATTTATTAATCATTTTTTTTATTTTTTATTAATCATATTTCTATACCGCCCACTCTCCGAGGACTCTGGGTAGCTTACAACAATTGACAGTATACTAAATAGCATATTGCCCCCAACAATCTGGGTCCTCATGTCTAGAAACAATATTTATTATTCTGTTTCTAAGTTCTGTGCCCATTGTCCTCAGAAGCCTAACCATGGTAGACAATATAAACTAACCAGTCTACATCCAAATGTCTTTTTACATACAAGGAAAAACAGTCTGAAAATAGAATGAGAGCCAATATAATGTAATTGAAAAGAGACTGTTATAAGTGGATTGTGCAGAGAATTAGGCCACAGAAGCAGAAAATATGCGCTCAGCAGATTTTTTAAAAACATTTAGAAAAACAGATTATGCATAAGACCTTGAAGGTGTTCTCAAAAGACAAAATTTAACAAACAAATTTTGAAGGCAACAATGTGCAGCCCAACCAAATGTCTTTTGCTGTTTAAAAGCAAAATGAAGGAGACACCGAATGTAAATGAGGAAGAGAAAAGACATAGAGAAGAAACAAATATAACAATTTTCAATCACACTATTTTTTAATATCTCAATCTAAAGACCAGACTTGCTCAAACCATAATTGCACTATTTCTCAAAATCCACGTTCACCTATGTGGTTTCAATTTGATTTAAACTGCTCTCAACTATTTTTTCCTTCTTTCACTTCCCCTCATTATTTACTGTGTAGAAATGCATGAATTGAGCAATTTTAGTATTAAAGATACTGTTGACATTCTGAAAAGTTATTTCAACTTTTGCCTACTTCTTTTTATAGCTCCTTAATTTTAGATATTAAACTGGTCTAGTGTTCTCTGCTCAGTTTGTCTCTAATAACAACAGGGAAGAAGATTCTTAAAGATATTGGAAACTAATGCAAGCTGATTATTTCTGTCATATTAATATATGTGTATTCTTGGTCTGGGTTAATTTTAATTATTGAAAGTTAGAGTATAACAGATTGATTTTAGATCAAGATTGACAGATATACAGTAGATTCTTGAGGGAGACATTAGAATATTAGAGTACGAGCGGTCTGCCGCTTATGAAAAATAATTCAAATAAAGAATATAATATCACATAGATCTATATACGTACCATATATAGAACTTTGAGAGTTTTTGCATATTTTTCCATATTCAGCTTCACTTCTTTTTGAAAAGAGTCTCATTTAATAACAGTGTTGGCGATGAAATTTCTTTTAATGAAAATAGAGAATTAGTTACAGGACTGGATCTTGAGAACTGGGTCACATTCCCCAATCAGTCCTTGCATCGAGTAAAAGTTGGGAAGTTGGATCCTTGGGTTGCTGAAGACCAAATGTTCACCATTCATGAGGAAGCCATCACCTGGCCTACCACTTTCAACCAAGTATGTTCTGAAGATAGTTGAGCTTGTTGGAAATGATTGGATGATATGAAAATAGTTCTGTGTCAGTTAATATTTAAAGAGAAATTATCAGTAAGATAAGAATTGAAAATTTCTGAAAAGCAGGATATCTAACTAATTACATAAAGCAGTATTTGTTTTCCAAGAATATGTTGCTATCAAGCTTTAAAAAGACAAAGAATATGTATGTAGTTTTTATACCAACATTATTGAGGGGAAGACATTTTGGTGAAAACAGTTAAGCCAGAAGTCAAGAGTCCTGTTTTAGAAATGAAGCCAATTGGGTGATGTTGGGTCAGTAACTTTACAGTAAATATATATATACTACTAAGTGTACTAATATTCTTGTTATCATGACCTATTTGTGAGGCAAAACAGAACATCATAGTGCAACAATTTTTGAACCAAGCTACCACAAATGGGCTAAGTTACAGAACATGTGCAAAACCTGGGAACCATGTGTCCTGAGGGAAATTTGGGAAAGTTGTGGCAGCTTTAATCCTACCGGCTGCTGCTATATTGCTGAACTACTGCTGCAGTCACATGATCCTCATCTTCAAATATTCAGTGACACTTTCCCAGCCAGTTTAACAATTAGTTTTTCCTTTCCCAATCCGGCAGCAGTCACTTGCCTGCTAGGAAGGGAAGGGAAGGGAAGGGAAGGGAAGGAAGGAAGGAAGGAAGATTTTTGATAGTCCCTTCCAGTTTCCACAAAGAAAAAGCCAAAACTCCCACTGCTTTTTTTGCCCATTGATGCACATTTTTCTGGTCATTCTTTGTTTAGGAAATGAAATATATCTGAATAATGACCCAACGGGCTACTGGCAGTCTAATTCCTCTTTCATTTTATATAAAAGTTTCACGTTGTCCTACAATAAGATATATATGTTTCAGTGTCTTCAAAAAAGTTTTCACTGTGTCTGGAGTACTGTTGAAATACTTTCACCTTTGGAGAATTGTCTTATGTAACTTATCTCCCAATTTGGAATACACAAGGATACCTGTAAAACTGGTAAAATATAAAAAAATATTCAATATTCAGTAGTTTTGATAATGAAGTTCATGAAAAAAAAAAACCAAATCCTTACAATAAGCATTCTTTATTTGCAAAATATTGGTCAACCATGATTTTCCATTTTTATTTCAAAATCCATGACTGAATGCTAACATTTTCCTTCTTTCATTTATTGGTCAGACCCTACCCATTTCAGTGTGTACTGACAGCTGCCCCCCTGGTTATTTCAAGAGAAAGCAGGAGGAGAAACCATTTTGCTGCTATGATTGCCTTCGATGTCCCAAAGAGAAAATGTCAAGGCAGAAGGGTAAGAGACCTTCTGAACCAAATTGACTGATGGTTCCATACTCACCCTGGGCAGATCCCTGAGCTTATAATTATAGCACCTGACTTGTTTTCGTTACTTGTTAATAGATTTCAAACCTTTCAGTAAAGAAGGATTCCTCAACCTATTGAAAGGAAAACTTCTGACAGAGTTAAGGGTTTTAAAAGACCTTAAATGCAAGGATTGATCACAAAGTTGCATTTTCATTACCGTTACTGTTGTAACGAACAATTCTAAAGTAGACAATCACTAAACAAGGATTACTTGTGGCCCTTTTTCTCCACTTCCCCTCTCTTTGGAATGCTTATCCGAGTACTGGGATATTTGGCAAGAAAATCTATATTTGTATTTATGTTCATCGGACAACAAGTGATAGCAAGAGCATAAGTCAGCACACAATGGGGAATTCACTTTAAAAGGAAGACAGTCCTGGCCACACTGCAGAGGTGTCACAGGTTCTGACCAGTTCTGGAGAACCGGTAGTGGAAATTTTGAATAATTTGGAGAACCTCTAAATACCTGTTACTGGTTCCACCCCATCTATTCTCTGCCTACCAAGTCCCAGCTGATTGGGAGGAAATGGGGATTTTGCAGTAACCTTCCCCTGGAGGGGGACAGAATGGAGATTTTACAGTATCCTTCCCTGCCATGCCCACCAAGCCATGCCACACCCATCAAACCATGTCCACAAAATTGTAGTAAAATTTTTTGAAACTAACCACTGCCACAGAGCTCAGTTTGTTGTGGTTAGCATTTATTAGGGAAGTGCTACATTGTGGAGAAAAACAAAATCTCAGGATTTTCAGGCAATCTTTCTGTTCTGTGATGGAAAGACTTTTTCTCAGGCACAGGATAACCAGTACTAACTGACAGTAATGGCCAACAAATGACTGAAAGAGATTCTTCTAAGGTTGTTAATGTGGGCTTTAGTCACAAACTTTTTTAAAAATATTTTTTATTTTTTCAAACATAAACATAAAATATATCTTTCAAGAACGAAGTCTCAGTCCGGTCATAGATAGGTACAATCACTTACATTTTTTTAACCAGCTCCATTCAAATTTCCCATTACCTGTTTTAAAATTAAAAATCAGAACACGAAGTTTTTTAACATGAATTTTAGCATCTTAATCTAAACCATTCTATTATATCACCGCGAATTTAATTTCCAAATAAACTTAACTCATTTTTATCTTTTAACCTCAATATCAAAACATTAATCTTAAAAAAATATTCTAACTTCTTAATCTAATTATTTACCTTACAACTTTATCACCACAAATCTTATTTTCAAATTACATACAACTTTATTTTTATTTCAATTTATAGAACAAAATTCTATCCATATTTCTTAATCTCTAGGCCCATTTCATCAAATCTTTAAATCTTAGATTTTATCACTTTACCTTTAATTTTCTCATGCTTATCATCTATTATACATTTCATTTTACACAAATTTATCCCAAAATCCATATCCTCCTCCATATTGCCTACTATTATTTGGCTGATTTCCAGCATATTTTATTTTGGCTGATTTTCAGCATATTCTCCTCCATACCTCCAACTATTGCTTGGCTGATTTCCAGCATAATCTCCATACCTCCAACCATTGTTTGGCTGATTCCAGCATCTTTTATTTTGGCTGATTTCCAGCATCTTTTATTTTGGCTGATTTCCAGCATAATCTCCTCCAAGCTTCCAACTATTGTTTGGCTGATTTCCAGCATATTTTGTTTTGGCTGATTTCCAGCATCTTCTCCTCGAGAACTCCAACTCTTATTTCGCTGGTACCCAGCATCTCTTATTTTAACTTTTTCCTTGGAGTATATTTGTCTATTATTTAGCCATTTCTCAGTATACTCTTCCAGATTAATTCTCAACACATTTCATAATATTAATCATTTCTAGCATACATTGAATTAAATCACAATTCATTATTTAAGTCTGTGTATCTTATATTTTCATCCAATAATACATTAATCAGTCATATTTACCCTTCTCAAATTTGTTTACAAATTTAGAATTAAAACATGTTACATCAAACAATAAGTTTTCTTAAATTTATCTCATATTGGTATATACTCTTATGTTTTTATAAAAATATATTGGTGGTTAAAAATATAAAAATATTATTTTTAACCACCTATACATCAATCCTCTTTTTTAAATACCTTCTTTTATTTCTCATTTTTGTTACTTCAGGAGCCCTCCTGTTTTTATCTAAAAATCATTTATACATTTAGGTTTTAAACATTACATTTTAATTTTATCTGCTTTATTTCTTCATTTACCTATCTGTCCATAAATGTTCCACTTTAAAATCCATATTTCCATATTAGAAACTCCATATATCACTTTAATTTTTTGTAACATCTGCTTAATGTAAAATCAACTCCTTTCTTTTATTCCTGCGCCACACCTTTTGTTGCTAAGCCAGTTAGTTTCGATTTTAATAAATCCAGTGTATTTCTTCTTTCTTTGTAAAATCACCCAAAGACAGAATAGGAATCTCCAAAATCCAAAATCCAAAAGTCTATAGTTAGTTTCAAAGTAATCCAAAATAGATAATAATTCAAAGTATTTCTTTTCCAAACAGAAGGAGGATCTCTGCAATCCACATTCCGCTTAGTCACAGCAATCCCCATTTTATCGCTATTATATAACCATCTATTTGTCTCTCTTCTTTAACTTCCCAAAGGTGTTAAATCCTGAAATAACACTTCTCATCCCCAAAGTCAAAAACCCTTGGTTATTTTCAAAGTAATCCATTTTAGGTAACAAAACACATTGTTTCTCTTTCAAGCCAAAAGCAATCTACAATTCACACTTTCACTTAGTCACGACAATTCTCCATTTTGTCAATTATGTGGTCATCCATTTGTCTCTGTTCTTTTAGCTTTTAGAGTTATCAGGTTCCTATTTATCGCTTTTTTCTTTTTTCTTTCTTCAAGAGTAATCTATTCCAATTTTAAAAAGTCTCTCAATTTTCTAATTTGTTTCAATAGGCAGATTATTCCAAATCAGTCCATAATAAAATAAGCTCCTTAATGGGTCTTTTCCTCCTGCAAATTATTTTATCAGACCTTCTTGCCCCACAGATCCATAGCCACTATTTAAGGCCAGGGGGTTACTTGTAAAAGTCCATGTTCTAATGTTGTTACTGCCTGGGTTGGTGTCACTCACCCGGCTTCCGAACACTTCACTCTTTTCTTCTTTCTTTCTCCTGCACAGTGCTTCTCCGGTTTGCCCCGGCTTCGAGGCAGCCGCCATGACTGCTGCACCCCCGCCGCTGGCTCAGAGGGTTTCCTCCAGCCTCCGAGGAACTTGCCTGTTCCTCTCAGCCATCCAAGGCATCCCTCTCTTTCCCCTGTCCCTACAGGACAGGTTCAATCTGCAGACTTGTCGGTGGCGGTTTGACAGTCGGGGTTTTTGCGGGGCTCATTAGAGCCCCGCCATTTCCCCGTCTAAATCGCCGCAGTGCCAAACCGGAAGTCCACAAACTTAGTTTTATCACCATGATAACGGTAAGCAATTACTATCCAAGGCAGTGGTTAAATGAGGACCATCTGTAAAACATTTAGTTTCTCTTACATTGTAATTACAACCTCCTCTTCTAAACAATAAATCTCCCAACTTTCCTACCCCATTTGATTCAGAAAGCTTTAGAAATGTTTAATGTAAGGAAAATAAGGAATACCTTTCCTCCTTTACTTCAATAAATCTTGTATTCAGGAACATGACCTTTAACTTTATTTTATCATACAGAAATATAAACATTGAAAATATGACAGATAAACTATCTGAGTGTCTGACTCCTATTATATTTATTTTTATTCATATTAACTTCATTAATGTTCTCTAGAAGACCTTGTAAAATATTGACATAATAAAAATAAAGAAATACTCAAAGACACCTCATTGTTCTGCATATATTTCCCCAAATGTTATAGAAATTTCCCAATTGTAATGCATGAATTATAAATAAGTAATTTGAAATGAAGTCATGAATAAATATATCCATTAACATAGAATTCCCATATAATCGTGTGTTCCCTTATGTACCAAATACAATAATAGAAAGTCAGATGGTTAATATCAGAGCCAGGCTTGCTTCCAGAAACAAACTATGTAGTTATACTAAGAATACTATCAATATATAACATATATAAATATATATACTTAATTTCTAGACATGGATGACTGTTCCAAATGCCCAGAAGATCAATATCCAAATAAGAAACAAGATTCATGTCTTCCAAAGAAAGTGTCTTTTTTGTCCTATGAAGAACCAATGGGAATAGCTTTAGTCACTCTAGTACTTTCTCTCTCTCTCTGCACAATTCTGGTGCTGGCAACATTTGTGAAGTATCACCATACTCCTATCGTCAAGGCTAATAATCGAAATCTCTCCTATGTTCTACTCATCTCCCTCCTTCTCTGCTTCCTTTGCTCACTGCAGTTCCTCGTTGCACCTGGAAATATAATATGTCTCTTTCGACAAATTAGCTTTGGCATCATCTTTTCAGTGGCTGTGTCTTCTGTGCTGGCAAAAACCATCATTGTGGTTTTAGCTTTCATTGCCACCCAGCCAGGATCCAGGATGAGGAAATGGGTGGGAAGAGGACTGGCCACCTTCATTGTTCTTTCTGGTTCCCTGATTCAAGTAGGCATCTGTATGGTGTGGCTGTTCACATTTCCCCCTTTTCCTGACATGGACACCCATTCAGAAATTGAGGAAATCATACTACAGTGTAATGAAGGTACAGTTATCATGTTCTACTGTGTCCTGGGATACATGGGCTTTCTGGCAGCTGCCAGTTTCATGGTAGCATTTTTCTCCAGGAATCTTCCCAGCAGTTTCAATGAAGCTAAATGTCTCACATTCAGTATGCTGATCTTCTGCAGTGTGTGGCTCTCCTTTGTTCCATCCTACCTGAGCACCAAAGGCAAATACATGGTGGCTGTAGAGGTTTTCTCCATTTTGGCTTCCAGTGCTGGATTGTTGGTCTGTATATATTTTCCCAAATGTTACATCATTATTATTAGGCCAGAGTTGAACAACAAAGAACAATTAATAAAGAGAAGATAATAATAAACAAAAAACTTTTCCTTTATTTCTTACAGATGATGATGAGATAGATAGATAGATAGATAGATAGATAGATAGATAGGTAGATAGATAGGTAGATAGATGATAGATGTAACTCAGATTATGAACAAAATTTAATTGGATTCAGATTATTTAAAAATCATGATCGAATCCCAGATAAAAGAAAAAAGGTTGTTTGTAGTTTATAATGGGATGACATGATAGTGCCTGGACATGGATCATCAAATTATGACCACTATGCATATACCCACATACACGCACATATATGACACAGAGAAACATCACAGTCTAGTTTGAATATATACATATACATGACCAAAAAAATTCTGTGAATTTACAAGATGGATGGCACAAGGAACAAAGCTGTTACAGAATCTAATTGTTCTGCTATAGATAACTTCAAAACCTCCTCACAGTGGGGAGCAACAGAAACAGATCATAGACTGGGTATGTGGGGTCTCTAACAACATTTCAAGCTCTAAGCACATAGTGCTTATAAGAAGTATTCTGAGTAATGGAAAGTGAGCTTCCTATAATCTTCTCAGCTGTCTTTACCACTATTTATATGGACCTTCCATCTGAGGCACTGCTACCACCAAACCAAACAGTGATGCAGTTTGTTAAAATGCTCTCAATCGTGCCTGTGTAAGAAGTTACCAAGACAGAAAGATGTGCTCTCCTCATCCGATGCAGGAAATGCAAATGCTGGTTTGCATGCTTCACTAAAGATAACGTATGGAGAGATCAAGTCAGATTGACCACCTCTATAGCTGCAACCTGGAGGCAAAGGCGAGTAGGACTATATCAGCTCTTTCTAAAATCAACACTGATCTTTCTTTTGTTAACATTTAAAACCAGGTTATTTTTATTGCACCAGAGCCAGTGGGACTTGAATAATTTAACAACCAGTTCTCTGGCTGGGTAGGCGTGAGCAGTTGGTCATGTGACTGGGTGGCGTCACTCATCACACCCAGCCCTGCCTCCCGGCCACTCACCTCAAAGGCAAAGGTAGGATTCAGCCAGTTGGGGCTAATCCCACCACTGGCTGCCCTGCCCACACCCATTTTCAGGCCATTTTTCAGCATCGTATTAAGAGGAAACACACAAGAAAGTGAATCATCTATAGAGCAGTTATTATAAAGAAATAATAAACAAATAAGTGATAAATTATAAACAAATAAATCAATTCATGTCATGTGAAAGCTTGAACATGCTTGACATGCTTTATAAATGGGTGCAATGAAAATATCAACAGAGGAACAAATGATAAATTCTTTAAATAATATTAATTCTGTCAGCTCTAAGATTGAGAGAATTTTGGTGAAAAAAGAATGAAAAAAAATCTTTATGTGTCTTTTTAATGCAAAAGTAGCAGAGATGAAGGCAAAAACAACTTTGTCCATATTAATCAGAAAATATTTGAATTGTACTGATCCAATAAAGCAAAGCACTATATTGCATAATGGTTGTGCAGGGACACAAGATCAGTCACGGAATTGGAGTAACACTTGATTGGCCAATAGGAGTATTTAAAGCGTTAAGTAGGCATGGGCATAACAGCCTTGATTCAGTTACTCCTGTATCTGCTGTAGGAGATCAATGGGACATAGGGAGGCAGGAACATCTCTGGGTGTATGATATATGTACATTATGCTGGATTATTATGCAGAAAATTATGGCAGTTGTTAATTCTAAAATTTCAGTGGGTTAGGATTAGGGGGGAAAAAATCTAACATGGATATTAAGCCTGGCAATTCTTACTTCCTAACCACTTTGGAAAGTAATTAATTTACAGATAAAGACAGATTTCTGTGGAAAAGTTAAAATCTTTTCTGATAATTCAGTTGTTTTTTTTAGGATTACAAACAAGAAACAAGAAAGAGATACTGATTTAAAGATTCTAGAAGACATAATAAAGAGAAAGTCTAAAAAGTTTTTAAATGGATAAAGGGCAGTCTTTTCATTTTAACTTTTATTTTGATCACATTTAGTTTTGATAACACTTTCCATTAAGCTAGTTAAAGTGAACAGAGTTGCATGGGAATACAAACTGCTTATTCTTACAGAGTGCATTTACTACAGATGGTCATTGTTGAGAATGAAATTTCCAGCATATCTAAAAGAGGCAGTTCTTTTAGAATGAACTTCTTTTCAGCAGCCTTTAACAATAAGTTGTTCACATCTAAAGTAACCCACCAGTGTTAAGCCATAACATGCCCAAACTTTATTTCACCAACTCTATTTTAGGACATTCTAACTATGTTACAAGTTTTCCAATATAGCAACTTTTTTTCTGACACTTACATTTCAACAATCACAACCTTGAAAGAACAATTAAATCAGACATTTGGGATAATGTAACATCTATTTTTTTTTCTGGAATGTATTTACTTATTTATTTATTTAAAAAATGTATATAGCCACCTACTCACACACAACAATTCCAGGTGGATTGCAAACAATAAAAACACAGTATATAAAGAAACCTCCCCCCCACACAATATCTCCCCACAACTCCAGTGGGCATCTGTTTACTTCAAAAAAAGTCATAAAAGAAATGTCAATTCTGGCTGAAAAAGAGAAAAATCATGTAATTTATTTTGTGAAGTTTCACAGTAACGTTTTTCTCCAGGAATCTCCCCAGCAGTTTCAATGAGGCCAAATGTCTCACATTCAGCATGTTGATGTTCTGCAGTGTTTGGATCTCTTTTGTTCCATCCTACCTGAGCACCAAAGGCAAATACATGGTGGCTGTGGAAGTTTTCTCCGTTTTGGCTTCCAGTGCTGGATTGTTGGTCTGCATATATTTCCCCAAATGTTACACAATTATTGTTAGGCCAGAGCTCAACAACAAAGAACAATTAATAAAGGAAAAATATTAATAATACACACAAATACACACTATTTCTATTATTTTTCTCCTACAGTATCTAGCCTTTTCCCAAACTTTAAATATTATTAATGTATTTATTTATTCATTTAGTTATGTATTACTTTATTCATTACTTTGAATAAGTAATGAGCCCTGGTGGCGCAGCAGACTAAAGCACTGTTATTAACATCAGCTGCCTGCAATTACTGCAATTACTGCAAGTTCAAATCTCACCAGGCTCAAGGTTGACTCAGCCTTCCATCCTTTCTAAGGTAGGTAAAATGAGGACCCAGATTGTGGGGGAAATAAGCTGACTTTGTATAAATATACAAAAGTATGAAGGCTATTGCTTAATGTATTGTAAGCCACCCTGAGTCTCCGGAGAAGGGCGGCATATAAATCAAATAAAAAAAAACTTTATTTATTTATTTATCTGTGTGATTAAATACACAAAGAATTTGTCTGTTGTGGCTCCGTCCTCCGAGCCTATCTTATCGGAGGAAGAAGGGTCCGAACATGAAGGAGAGGAGACGGCCAGGCCTCCCTCTCCAGGGCCCTCCTCTCTGGCAATGCCTCTGGAGGACACCGAAGGCCAAACGATAGGCTCAGAGCCATGCATGTCCCCGCAGCCACAGGTGGACAGCAATGAGGAAAATAAGTGCTGGCTGGACCCTAGCCAGAGGCGCAGGGAGAAATGTGCGCAGCAGAGGGGAAGGCGTGCCAGAGATTAAGCTGAGTCACTGGACCACACCCCACAGGCTATAAAAGGGAGTGTGGTGGCCATTCAGACTCTGTGACTGACAAAGCTAATCTCTGGCAAGGCACTTGCACCTTCGGACACAACATCTATTTGCCGTGGATTTAATTCAAACTCTGTGTATTTTTGTCTGTGTTATTGGAGTAAAAGCTCTTGGCAGCCAGCCACGGAGTTGCTGCCAAGTTCCTTATCACTGACGTTGTGTGTTTGAAGAGTTTATTTAACCCTTGGCTGGCTGGTTGGGTGTGTGCGTGATATGGGGACAGAACATTGTCTCTGGTGCAGAAGGCCTCAGTGTGTATGCAAAACAACAGAATCATCATCATCTATGTCAATAAGACAGGGGAGTAAAGAACATAATAAGGAGAAATAATGATACTACAGCATGGATAAATGTACATGGACATTAGAGAGCTCTTTGAGAATAAATATACAGCAGATTGCTGGCACAACTGTTCCTGTGTCTAGCTGTTTTAGTATGCAATGCTCTATAGCAGAGTTCCCCAACCTTTCCAGGTTGATGGTCCAGACTGGGGTGAAGGGGGACAGGTCATGATTTTGTGGGAGGGGTAGTTATGTGCATGTGCATGAACACCTATTGCTCCTATGCGTGGGATCATAAGCACCTCCGATGCTCACATTAGTGGGAATACAAATGGCCATGACACTTGTGCAAGTGAGGCCCGAGCACATGTGTTGTGAATAGGCCGTGGACTGGTAGTGGGCTGCAGCCCACAGGTTGAGGACCTCTGCTTTATAGTGCCATCCCAAGTGGAAAAATTGAAACAGTTTATGTCCAGGATATGAAGGGTTTGTAGATTATCATCATTTCTCTTTTTTAGTATCTTCTTTTTTATTCTCCTCATTTTAAATCATTGACTTTGGGGAGGGGGAGGGCAGAATTTTTAGGAGTGTTTTTTCTTAAACAAGCCAAGACTTGTAATTGTTGTATTAAAATTGAAAATCTGAAAATGAGGAGGACATAGATCTATATAAGGATGCAGTACAGATTTTGAGGAAAAAAATGATTTTATTCAAGTTGCCTACAAAAATCAATACTGAAGCCCAGAAATAAAATGTTCCTAGTATAAAAACAAAGGTTTGTTTATCCATTATTTCTCTTGTGTAATATTTCTTCTTTGAAATTTCCATTATTTTCATATATTGATATTTATACTATATGGATTATTTTATGATGTATGTATTTAAGAAAAAATTGTTGGAAGTATTCTATCTTAAAATAAATGTAACAGTGTGTGGCAGAGGCCATACTGCTTCCCTCCTCCAGACTTTCTGAATTGGGGCTAATTCTAATGTTATGTGCAAGTAAGCCAGCAATGATGCCAGCTGCCTCACT